GAAGCTGTGGAGATGTGATTTTATAGGCGAATTATGAGAACATCCTAGACAGATAAAGATAAATGAAGACGTTTTAAAAGAAACTGACTCACCAAGAGAACTGACTGCCCACATCACAAAGAGAAAATCTACGTTCTTTGGTCATGTGATGAGAAGGATGGGGAAAGAACTACAGTAAATCGTGACAGTGGGAAAGTTGCAGGGAGGAGAGGCAAAGGGAGACCGAGAGAAGATGCTGAACAGTTTGACATCATGGCATGGTGGATCGTTTGTGTCAGAGTTGACTGAAAGTACGCACAAGTTTGGGAATACATGACTACCAACGACACACGGCTTGGACTATGGATAATCATCTGTGTCAGAGCTGATTGAAGGTACACGAGACGAAAGGTCGACATGACTACCAACTCCTCACGGCGTAGACTTTGAGAAAAATAAGAAGAAGATATATTTCTTTCTACTGATTGGGATTGTCTTCTGCTGTAAAAATAAACAGGGGAGGAGTGCGTGGTCGGGGCTAGCTGTGTAAATTTAGTTTACTTTAATGTATATGTAACGGGGGATATTTTCACCCAGATTAGGAAGGTTGGGGGGAAGGCCCAAGGTTAACTCAAATACCGAGATATTCCAGATACTCGGATTAAACGAGGTTTTCAAGGTAGGTGATGACCACGAGTTATCACATGTATCACGATGACGCGACCACAGGTCGACACGTGGAAGTAAAGGACCACCACGTGTTGCCACGTGAAACTAACCCGTGGTATAAGTTCAGACTCGATTCTGATCAAGTTAGTATGTGTTGAACTGTCGGAGTGAAAGGACGGGAGACTGGGTGAATCTACGCTGATGCCGGGCCATCGAGAATGATCGCCAGCATTTTAAACAGTTATTTTATGTACAAGATGTATGTAATGGCTATCTTCGTCGTCTTCTACTTCGCGTTCACCTGCTGAACAGTTTTGGTTACTCTTCTGAAGTCTCGTCCTGTTCCAAAACCTTAGTGTTGCACGCACATCCGTTTTACAGATCCGATTCATTTGTTTAGGTTTAGGTTTTAGGTTGAGACGACAGATCAACATCATGACACACGGGTAGTAACCCATAAGTGTTCTGTTCAACTTCTACATCAAGCCTGAGTCCGAAGAATCTCATCTAAGTGCGCGAACTGCGTACCCCAGTCGAAGATCCTGAAATAGTTTGGGAAGATTTTTAACTCCAAATTTTGCACGTGCAGCGCGGTAGGGTACTCTTTTTCGATTTTCAACTGCCATTGGATTTTTCTACGTGCGCAACAATACACACGTGCGTCCGATTTTACTACCCATAGACCAGGGGAAATTACTAGAAGTCCACTTGAAAAAATCTCAACCTTCACCGGAGATTGAACCCGGGACCCCTAGCACTCGAGGCGGACGCCATGCCTCGAGACCACATATTTCCTGAATCCATTGTATGCAGATAATTGGTTCTTTGCCTCTCAGGCAGATGCACTTTGACTCCCTTTTAGTCGACTCTTACGACATCCTTTTTGGTAGCCAGTGGGTGTATTCTTGTCTTTCCAACAATAAGGCCCCATAACCCCCCCCCCCCTTTTTTTTTCCACTCCCGGGAAATATTGGCTATAACTGTATACATGTGGTCTTTACAATTGCTAGGCATAATATAGTCTTAGGCATACCTTAGTACACTTTGATCTGGACCCCATAAGTAGCTCTGATGGTGTCTAGACGGTATTCAATATTCTGCAATGTCTTTCGAATGGTGTACAGAGTAACAGATGCAGCTTCTGCGGCCACTTCACTTCAAGGTGTTGGACGATTCCTAACCTTCCGAATGTCCCTTTAAACCTCCCAGTAACACAAGGTCACACAAAACGTTAAACTTTTTTGAACATTTTATGACTCCACACATGTTTATTTTGAGATGTCTTAGAAGAAGAATAAATCTCCACTGAACATATTTCAGATACAATGCTCAAATAAGACAAGAGACCAAGCAAGATAATGTATCAAATTTTACAAGAAAGCGCCGGTGGAGCTATTTCGACTGTGCACTCAAAATGGATGAGACCAGACTCCTCCCATCAAGCCCTCATATGGATACCGGAAGGGAACAGAAAACGGGGAAGACTACGAGGAACCTTGCGAAGTGCTGTCATCAGGGAAGGCTCAGCCATCACTCCACATTTTCCGAGGTCTTCCACTCTCTCTATACCCGTTATAACATTTTAGTGTGGATCGCAGTTGTAGATAGCACCAGGACATTCTTGTTAGGTGTCCCAACCACTTCATTTGTTGTTCTTTGATGACATGCAAGACTGGCTTTATTCCTATTTGATTTCGTGATTTTGTTCTCTATCTTTCCTTGAAACTCCTGCAGCTCTTCTAAAGCATTTCATCTCTGTTGTCTCAATTTTGCTTTCATTGGAGGATGTGAGTGTCCACGTTCGGCATAGTGAGAGGAAAGACTAACCAGCTAATACACCTGTATCTATTTAATAATTTGCTTGTAATAACAGCGTACAACCTTGGCAATCTTTGTCGATGACGTGTATTTGCCAACTCGTGGTAAGAATGTATCCATTTCATATCCTTGGCTTCTAAAACATTGCGCGCTATAGAGTGATTACAAACTGGTACATATTTTCCGTAATTTCTCTGTCATTACTGATCCTGGAAAAGTGATTTTTGTGTCTCTGTTTATTTATTTTTGAACTGGCTCCTTTGTTCGTCTGGGCCTCAAAGTTTTATACACAAATAATATTCAGACTGACCAGTTATATCGAACCAACGTTTTCTTAGTTATCATCATCACCTGTGTGATTTTAGTTAAGTTACAAAACAAATTGTTAGTTACATGTTATGATTTCGGTTATCTTAACGGCACACTGGACACACTGGATTCTCACTAAAACATATACATCAGCTTCCCACGGTTGAAAAGTCCAAGTCCTTTGTTGGTTGAAACGACTTTTCGTGCGTCGTATCTGCTTTTCGTGCCTGGCTGTGCAGATCTTTACTCCCAGTTCTTGCACCCTTAGCAAAGATGTGGATATGCTGCTCCTAAAATCCTCCGAGGGTCCTACATATCTAATCGCATTAACAATATCTGCATGATCCATGGAAAGGCCCTCTGTAACTAAGGCAAAGCTGGCTAATCTGCCGGCTCTTTCGTTGACAACAACACTTGCATCATCCGGGAATTGTACAAATTGTACAGTCCCGAGGCAAATTATGAGTATAACAAAAGTTACAGGCGTTTCTGCAATCTTTTAATGTGAGGGTGTAAGTCCCTACCAATTTGTACACATGACTGGTGTGCATAGTGTTTGTATTGTAAAAAAAAAAATGTATTGTCTTCATTTTTTCGGCATCAATAATTCCCTATTGTCAAACAATATGCATATTGCTCGTTTAATACTTTCTTTATAAAAGCTATTAATTGTCTCTTTTTTCCCCAATCACTCAAAATTTATATTGTAGAAAGAATTAACTTCTCAAGCCCATCTTGAGAATCTCTGATCAATAATACATAGGGCATGCTTTGTTCTTTTCTCTAGGTTTGAAACAATGATACTGTTGGTAGCATCAGAGAAGAAATATTTATATAATTGGACTGCTAAATTTTTTAGTGTAACAAAATTAACTTTTCATCTCCATTATGTAAACAAGACAATGACAACATATGTGATGTCTTTACAACATGTGACAAAACTCGCATTTCAAATCGCAATGCAACAGTTTAAGGAACACGTGTTTTTGTGAAAGGTCGATTGGTTACAATTGAATTGTGTGCGGTATTACTTTTAAAAGGCAATCCAACATTGATCATATTATTTACCTAAAAAAAAAATAGCAAAAATACATTCTAATTACTTGCTATGCGAGAACAAAATCTGAAATAACTTTAAGAATGAAGTACCTAATAAAATAAAATTACCCATTTATATAAACATTTATATATGCAGCAAATTCAGTGAGAGACGGAAAATCAACCGGTTGGCCACTTAGTAAGAATACAGTCAGAGCAAATACCCATGCAGGCGCTGCGTATAAAAAAAAAACTGAAGTGGAAGCTAGAGGCCACCCTATTACACACTTTTGACTCCTAATATCAGTACAACTGATTTATCAACACATAATAAAAAAAATAAAATAAAGTACAGTTCCCTTTTCACGCCTTTCGGTGCATCGGGCATATGGGCAGAGCGTCCCATATTTTTACAGACCATCAGCACTTTGTGGGTAATGTGGTCAGCATTACGCCGGCTGTCTTTACTTTCTCAGGACAGCCCATCCTGGTACCCATTTTAGGCTGGGTCGACCTGCGACGTCCCATACCACGACAAAAATCCACGCAGCCTGCAGTGGGTTTCGATCGCGGTATGCTGGCTTACGAGTCGGACTCGCAACGCCTTAGCCAAGGACGCCGCATATCAACACATAGCTGCATGAAATATAAATGGTTTGTCAATAAGAACATAATCGGGACAACTGTCATTCGCTTGTTAAAAAAAAAAAAAAAACATATACTGTTAGTGTTATGCCAAAACACTAGCAACAAAACCAAAATATCAACTCACACGGAATGTGAAGTATATATATATACATGACAATTTTAAAACAGTTTACACAGAATGCTAGATATTAAAAAAATTAAGAACACCTATTTTGTGAACTATTTGTTGAGAATATTGAAGGATGAATTAGGAATCGACATTACAGCACTCAGGAAACTCCATAAGCGCTCTATGCCCATCTTTAGCAGCAAGTAAAGAGCTCCACTACCAATGGTACCAGTCAATGTCTTATTGTACATCTGTATCGTCTTTTCCCTGACCGTAATGATCTATTTGTACCTCCACATTATTCGCTCGTTCCCAAACGGCGTTCAGAACATCTAGCTTGTCATACGTCATTTCACCACCAAGTGGTGCAGAACCGGCCAGACTAATTTAAAATAAAAATTATATCTACTTCAGACACCTATAACAGTAATTAACCCTTACACAGGCGTGCCTTAACATCAGAAAAAGTCCTCATCACAGCCTGTGAAAATTTATTATTTATAAAGAAAAAGATAATGAAAGTTAGTACTGAGTTAAATGGTATTAAATAAATTGAAAATACGTAAACAGGAGTTGGTACAGGGAACACTATATTGAGACCAGCACACAAAACGGACGGCGACGTACAGATAAAATACATTCCAAACATGGCCGAGAAGAATTTGACACTTCTAACAGCTGCCAAAAAATTGTCCCTGAAAGCTACATTACTGCCGATCCCAGAACTGGGAATTCTTCGAGCCAAACTGACCTGTTTCTTTCTGAAAGCCAAAAATGCTACTTTAAAGTTAGAGACCATAACTGCAACACTGCTGATGACGTACACGAAAGCCCCAATACAGTAGTACTCTAATGGTGGGTGAAGCAGAATACATGACTTGTGATAGTGAACTTTCGTGTATACCATCAGCGGAACAAACATGTAAGACAACCCAAATGTCCACAGACACAGGATAATAATGTAGACACTGCGATTTGTCATTATACTCTGGTAGAAGAATGGATGGGCGATGTTAATGTACATTTCTAATGCAATAACTCCAAAGTGGGCTAAATATAAAACCACAGAACTGTACCAGGCGCCGAGTAGAAAGCTCTCAAAATACTCCGGCTTTGTTATCCCTAAAGTCGTAAGCAGATTGTCAGATTCTCCAAAGCAGACATAGGATACACTTAATATGACTTCAGTAACAACCATGGATATCACCAATGCTTTAGTTCTTGTTGCTATGATATTTGTCCGTTTTGCTGTAAACACAATAAGCACACTCTTGCATACTGCAATAGCAACGAATGGAATGGTCAGATAGAGCGTTCTGAAACCGAAGAACACCCTCAGTGCACACGGCAACGAACCGTTTGTAGGCATGGCGCCTATAAGGTAATTCTTCAGTACGAATCGTACTGGCACACGATGGGAAAAGTCGTTTGAATCCTTAGTACAAAAGAACTGCAGTATTATCTCTGATTACTGCATGTTTTAATGACCACAACAAATTATGTTACAGCACATGAGAACTACCCTTTCATAATCAGAGAACTCTATGACGTGCTATTTTAAATTAGTCGAGTTTTCAACATCACAGCATACGTTTTGCCTTATAGTCGCTCCGTTCATATTCCAGTGTATATGACACGAAATATCAGATGTGACAACACTAACGTTTCCAAACCAGAACTGCAGCTCACTATCGGGACTAACAGTTAATTGCTAACGCCGGTATTGCATCCGCACATGTAAAAGTTATTCTGAAAATAATCGGCCACCAGTTAGTTTTTTTTTAGATGATAAATCACAACACCACACATTGATAACTGTTTGTAGTCTTTGCTACACGTATTGTAATCCCTGATATAGTACTCTAGTTGTTAATATTTTTATCATAAATTTAACAAGTAGGAGGTAAGAATAGCTAGTCAAGCGAACGCCATATATATTTATTTTAAATGATACGTACATTTCGTACTGGCACTGAACTGATCAAACCGATTTAAGAATAGTCATCATAGCACACCGGGCATACCAATATGTTCCCTGTCTCCAGCAACACATGCCTTAAGGAATGAATCATAATCATCATCCTCATAAACCAATTCTGTCGTTAAGCGACGTTGGGAGGAATAATTTGCGATCCAGTGCACGCTGCCTGCCACCGGCTATTGTCACGCCGTGAAGGCGTAAAGTGTCTTCAATGTTGTCGATCCATGTTTTCCGCCACCGTCCTCTTGCTGTTGTAGCTGATCTTCTGAGATGTAGTACTTGTGATGAATGAACAAATGAATTAATCAATTATTCAAGCACTGTCTTTACCCCGGGACATTCCCAAACGTGCTCCGTCTCTTTCTTCAGTAACCAGCTATCTTAATTAACCAGTGTCTTAAGGTGTAGATGCTTACTGTTCTCGTAGTACACAGATTATAAACTCGTCGTTTCCTTCTTCTCTTACGCCCCTCCTAACCAGTCGACACATATTCCTCCTTTACATATTCTTACACATTTGATGTAATCTAAGCTCGTGTCTTCTATCAACATACATTCATGAATGATCTCCTGAATTCCTCCTTTGTCCAGTACGAGTGTTCTTGTAGCTATTGCTTTTGTAGCAGAAAATCCACCTTTCACTTCTGATCATGGTAGTTATACAAACACTATTGTTATATTCAAATATGTTAGTAAATATATGTGCCATCATCACAATGAAGGTTGGTTACCTCTGACCAATGGTGTCTTTGACAATATTACGTGACGAGGCCACGATCTCTTACACAGTGCAGCTCTCGTATCACAGTCCGAAAACCACAAGAACCGTCTGTTTTTACATTAAACCTTTTGGAATGAACATTTATATTCGAAGATGATGATACTGTAAACCGTTTACGATAATCACTTAGCCACCTCTCTTAAAACGATCTGACCAGTAACAGATCAGAAAAACTGCTTCTTCCTCCCTCGTTCGCTTGAAATAGTTTATCTATGTGTGCAGTGTTATCTTTAGTATGAACTTCACTGACTTGTATAATCCCCTTAGTTTGGCTTCCACAAGTGTTTCTCTTGGCTAAAAGTTTTGCCTTGATATGCAAATTTAGGGACAGTCCCAGAGAATATGATCTGTTGTCTCGGGTGCTAATCCACGAGTGCATATGGCTGATTCCCTAATCTTAAATTTTGTTACATGTGGATGCAAAGTCGATTTTATCCTGTTATAAGGCGTAGATCAGAAAACCGAAGTGTTTCTAATCACAGCGAAAACAGTACTGAGTAATTCATGCCTAAGCAAAGTTTTGACATTAAAACAGTGACATAGTTTTAACGTGATGAACTGTTGATTGAACAAGTCTAATTAATACATCGCCGACGAGAAAAGTTCAAACATACACTATGAGGCCAAGAATTCGTCTTAAAGAGCACCTACGCTGACATCAGTGCGGCATTTACTGGACACAAACACCTCGACATGACGTATGAGCACGATGAGTGAAGCTGACAACCAACAGAACGGTGAGCTAACATCCATTAACAACCTACAACCACGTAGATCAAGAAGCGGCATGTTTTCTCAAAGGAAAACACAAATTAACGACAACAAATATCTCCACGCTTGTTCAACAATGTAATATTGATCAGCACATTAACCGCAGTTTAATTAACTCTGGAGTGGTTAATCTAACACACGTGACCACATTTCGGACAATACATTATGGAAGCTTGACAGTATCATAAATGTTCGGGGAACTGTTCAGTCCATTCGGCCAAAGTTTTGTTTAATTAGTGATGTTTCGCAAAGATTTCGGCTAAATTTTCCAACAGTCGGCTAAAAAAATAAAGTTTCTAGCTAGATTTGCCGATTCAGTTTCAAATTTATGGATTGGGAGTCTAAAGCTTCCTTTGCCAATCTGCTGAACTGACTGCATGGGGCCACACAGGATTCATTTGGAGTTTTGCTTTGTCCGCGGCGTGTGGTTGACTGCAGTACGATGACGGGTGGTCGAATGGTGTGTACTTTCTTAGCTGACCGATTTAGAAGAAAAATTTAAGGTGCAATTCTGGTGTGGGACCATTACCGCCAGCACATCTGACAGTTGCCATATGAATTTTTACTTTGGCTGTGCAAGTTTCAGGATGTTGCTTGGACTGATTTGTCTATATTTGTTTTCAAATGGAACAGTGAAAGAAGTTCTATGTGATTTCCACTGGCATGATAACAGAACACACGCTTTGGAGCACCAGTGAGGATACTGAAATACTTTGGGTAGATTTTTAACTCCAAATTTTGCCCAGGCAGCTCCGTTAGACTACTCTTTTCATTTCCAATTACCAAGCGATTTTTACGTGAGCAACAATACACATCAATCTCACTACCCATAGACCAGTGGGAATTTCTAGAAGTCCAAGTCCACGAGAACAAAACCCCATCCCTTACCGGGGATTGAGCCCGGAACCTCTAGCACTCGAGGCAGACACCATGCCTCGAGACCATGCAGCCCCCTAAAAAATCTGAACAATGAACAATAAATATAAAAACGAACATCGAAACTATAATGAAGATCTTTGCAGTAACGGACAAGAGACCAGCCTAGATTTTCAGTTCCGTTTGTCGACTCCAAAGCCGCATTGGGGTGGGAAGTGGTGAGAGCGAATAGATGCACTGCTCCCAACAAGTATGTCATAGAAGGCTACTAATTCGGAGTGTTTCCTTTACAGTCTGAGAGCATCTGCCAGAGAGGAAAGTAACCAACAGTTTTTATACATATAAACCCGATCTGTCAATCAGATGCGCATGTAAAACTAAATATTGACCGAAATTCAGGGGTGAAACGGCATAGAACTGTCTGCGTACAGTTTACAATTGGTAAACGCAATTACTAATAAACTACCAACATTAATTAAATGGTGCCTGCGCAGGAATAGATGGAATTAAATGGTATGACGGAGTCATTATTTTAGAGCTTTGGGAAGAACTAAACACGTTCCGGTGGACCAAGAGATGGGGAAATGACGCTGGCGATGCATAAGACATGTTGAGAAAACCTAAGAAGGAATAACTAGAACGTTTTTGCACTAGAACCCACAGGGGCATAAAAATAACGAAAGACCAACAAAACACAAAGAGAAGAGAGTTAGACAGTGAGGTAAAAGACTGGGAGGACATTGAGGGGCAGGGCGGGAGCTGCATGCAAAGACAAAAGACAGAACGAAGAAGAAGAAGTAGAAGAAGAAAAAGAAGAAGAAGAAGAAGAAGAAGAAGAAGAAGAAGAAGAAGAAGAAGAAGAAGAAGAAGAAGAAGAAGAAGAAGAAGAAGAAGAAAGAAGAAGAAGAAGAAGAAGAAGAAGAAGAAGAAGAAGAAAAAAGAAGAAGAAAAAGAAGAAGAAGAAGAAAAAAAGAAGAAGAAGAAGAAGAAGAGAAGAAGAAGAAGAAGAAGAAGAAGAAGAAGAAGAAGAAGAAGAAGAAGAAGAAGAAGAAGAAGAAGAAGAAGAAGAAGAAGAAGAAGAAAGAAGAAGAGAGAAGAAGAAGAAAGAAGAAGAAGAAGAAGAAGAAGAAAAAGAAGAAGAAGAAGAAAGAAGAAGAAGAAGAAGAAGAGAAGAAGAAGAAGAAGAAGAAGAAGAAGAAGGAAGACGAAGAAGAAGAAGAAGAAGAAGAAGAAGGAATTCGAAGAAAAGAAGAAGAAAAAATAAGAAGAAGAAAATAAGAAGAAGAAGAAGAAGAAGAAGAAGAAGAAGAAAGAAGAAGAGAAGAAGAAGAAGAGAAGAAGAAGAAGAAGAAGAAGAAGAAGAGAAGAAGAAGAAGAAGAAGAAGAAGAAGAAGAAGAAGAAGAAGAAGAAGAAGAAGAAGAAGAAGAAGAAGAAGAAGAAGAAGAAGAAGAAGAAGAAGAAGAAGAAGAAGAAGAAGAAGAAGAAGAAGAAGAAGATGATGATGATGATGATGATGATGATGATGATGATGATGATGATGATGAAGAAGAAGAAGAAGAAGAAGAAGAAGAAGAAGAAGAAGAAGAAGAAGAAGAAGAAGAAGATGATGATGATGATGAAGAAGAAGATGATGAAGAAGAAGAAGACCCTGGTCTTAACCTTCTGCTGGCCTTTATTTTCCCTATTTCTGAAACATATCTCATTTTCATCTTGAGCATTTCTGTTTGAACCGCTGTATCCTCCCCCGACTTGCCAGACCTGTCGTGATTTCATCTTCAACTGAACACCTTAACTAAACTAACATATTTAGCATACATTTCCAGGTATACTGACATCTTTCTGTCACATTTCTTGGCGAATGTTGTTTGCGCCAACCAAACCTAAATACATTTTTAGTTATCGGATCTCTTGTAGAGCTTTGGGAGAGAACTAAACAGGCTCCAGTGGACCAAGAGGTGAGGAAAAGACCATGGCGTCAGATAGGTCACGCACAGAGAAAACAGGAGAACAGCATAACTAGAATGTCTTTGGATTGAAACCCACAGGGACATAGGAATAAAGAAAGGCAAAAAAAAAAAAAAAAAAGCGAAAAGATAGCTGGAGAATGAAGTTAGAAATGTAATGTCGAATGATAGAACGACTTGACGTGAGTTGGTTAAGGGCCTATGCTCCAGTGGGGGATAGAAAGGCAGAAGAAGAAGAATCGGATCCCAAAATAAATGTGTGTTACGTGTATTTACCTCCAACTTCAATCAAATCTACGTGGTGTAAAGAGACAAATGTCACGTTTAAAAATAATTCCAGCGGCAAAGTTTATTGATAACATTGCTTCGTTTTGCTTTTCATGTGCAAGTCGTGACTAAAGCGAAGACGTGTCAGTCACATTATGGAAGGAACGGGAAATAGATATGTTTGTAACTGTTACAACTTCAACCATGTCTCAGTGAAGATGCTTGAGCAGTGTCGACAGATGGAGAGCGACAACATGGCTGCAGGATAATGTAGGAGTGGAGAAGTTGCTATAAAATTTGGAGTTTCCCACTCTGTGATACAAAATCTTTCATTGAGTGCCGATCAGTACACTTTCTGTTACTTGATTAACTCGATACAATCTCTGCGTGTTCGTTGTAATGCAGCCGGCAGTGTCGCCCAACAATGCAAGTCATGACGAACTTGGTGAGTCGTCTTCTGATGTTTTTTTTTTTTTGTTTGTTTGTTTAGTAAAACAATTTTTTCCACTCTTCTTATAGTCTACATTTTATTAGCGCTAGTGTGTGTGTGTGTGTGTGTGTGTGTGTGTGTGCGTGTGTGTGCTTGCGTGTGTGTCTGTATGTGTGGCTCTTGTGACAATTCCTTAAGTGACACAACTTTTCCTATGGTTAAAAAAAAAGTAAAGATCCCTTTTCACGCCATTAGGCGCATCGGGCATATGGGAAGAGCACCCATACATTTACATACGAATCGGTGAGAATGTGGTTGGCATTACGCCGGCCGTGTTTACTTCCCCAGAACATCCACACTCGTACCCATTTCAGGCTGGGTCGACCTCACACGCATTTTAACCAAATTCAACATTTTAAGGTATGCATTTTAGCTGTAGCAACAAATGGATGTGAGTGGTGAACTACCCCCCTTGAATGTAGATAAGAAAATCCGAACTTTCGAACTGAAATGCTACAGAAAGGTTCTTACAATAAATACAGCTGCACTAAAAAAGAAGATATTTTCACATTCTAAAACATCTGACAAAGATTTAAACTGCTTTGCAGAACCTGTGTTGTTATTTGTATGTGAACCATGGACAACAAGCAGAGAAGCATCTTAAGGTTTTTCCCCTCTGTTTATTTTTGGGAATGACGTATACATACCGGAAGCTACTAATCAAATCATCATCAACATGTAGCAGGTCATTTGCAGAATGTCGCTCTCATCACAGTCTGCATGAACGAAACTCGGTCTTTCGCCAGCTCTCCCGCCTCATGTACTTTCATACTCAAGGAGTCACTTATATCCTGTGCCCATCTTCGTGTCGGTCGGCCCCTGTCCCTCCTTCCATGCACTCTGCTATAATTGTTTCCTATCCGTCGTGGCGCTTGATATAACCAAAATATTTCAGCTTCCGAGACAGGATGCTGTTTATTAGCCAATCTTCCTTGATGTTCAGATCTTTCAAGATGTCACGATTTCTCTTCTTCTTTGTTCAAGATATTCTGAGAATCTTTCTCTAGCATTTCAGCTCAAAAGCCCCTATTCTCTTTTTAAGTACATACATCCGTATGTAGCCACATGGAAGATGCATGCTCTTGAAATTCTAATTTGTATCTCCTTGCTGTTGCTTAACCATAGGCTTGTAATCCTGTACCAATCAAATACATTTCTTAAATGTTTGTGTATTCTAGACAAAGCATTAAGCCTGTGTTCGAAAATTGTTATTCAACATATGCTTCGTTAATACAAATTTCTGTAACCTATGGTGCCATTTCAATGATTTGAAATGAATTCTGTCCGTATTCACAGCAACTTTAGCTTTAGATTTTGTTGTTGCCTAGTGTGTTTTTCTATCTTTCTACTTCTCTCTATGAGTGCCGATTAATTCATTGTTTTCCGGGAGTCGTCTTGGCCGAGCGGCTAGACGTTGGCAGCGGATCGGACGGTCGTGGGTTCGCAACTTAGCGAAGAAGGACTTTTTTTCAAAAATGACCTTGTCTCTCAGGTCGACCTAGCCTTGAGTAGGTACCGGTTGCAGTCCCGGGAAGTAAAGGGGTCCGGCGAGATGCTGACCACATCACCCATCTTGTGCCGATTGGTCTATACAAATATAGGTCTCGCCCTATATGCCCTCTGCACCTAATGATGTCGAAAAGGGTCCTCTACGTTTACCCATTGTTTTCCGCACCAACTGCTCTTAAGAAGAGGAAGTCGCACCTGAATTAACAGGAATGGATTGACGTGTCCTCCCTACTCGATACAAATAGCGACACTAGATATCATCAAATTGTAAACACATTCAGGAGTTGCGTATCAAATGACAGTCAGATTGACGGTGGTTTAGCTGATTACCAGTAAGTTCTTTCTTATCATTGTCAGAATCGATATATTCACTTTAGATTTAAGCTAGTTGCGCTCAAAATGCTTTAGTAAACAGGAGTCGGTTACCCTAAACTATAGCTACAGATGAGATATCATGTCAACATCTTTGAGCTGATACTGTTAACAGCTCAACAGTGACAACATGTTTATTTTCTTTCGAACTGGGATCATATTTTATTACGTTTTTGATTTGACTTGTTAGTTAGTTGTGCATCTTTCAAAGGCCGATGCAGAACGAACACCACCATTTTACAGAGAATATCACGTTTATTAGTTAGTCACTGCACTGAACGATCGATGCTCTAAACCATTGTCGAGATGAATGGAAAGAGATTTGATGCAAAATCGCTGGCAGCTTTAATCAAACCAAGAGTTTTAGAATTACAGAGCTCGCTGGCATCGACTATACCACAGTCGCTGGCATCGACTATACCACAGTCGCGGGCTGTGACGTGAGATTACATATATATCATTTTCTTTAAACTGGCATAGGAACAGAACAAATATCGGGAACCCGTATGCAGTGCTGTTGTAACCTCGATTAGGACTAAGACTATGAGATTTCGGTATTTGAATGTGGAGTATTAAATTAAAAAGCGATATCACAGCACTCGGGGTATTCCCAAAATCGATTAGTCCTTATCTTCTGCAGCAAACGCAGAGGGCCAATGCTGATGGCGCCAATAACAGTATATCCATCTCTCCAAGTGTTTTAAGACTTTGGTTAAGCATTCACAGAAATACCCTAGGAAAACAATCACTATCCTGGTCGTCAATTCTAACACTGAGTTTCTGGAAAGGACTAGAGTCCATAGGTGGACGAACAACCAAAGCTTTCCGTTTATAGCCGGTGAACACAAAGAAGAAGCAGAAGGTGAAAAAAAATTTTTACGATATGGGAGATAATTCGACATTCTCCTGTGGGTATAATGTCCTTGTTGGATATACAGGAATATCTCTGTGCATGATTGTGATCAGCAATAGCGTGTTGACAATTGTGACCATTTGCCGGACTCGTGAACTACACACTAACCAGTATATTTTCATTGTATCCCTTTCGATCGCTGACATACTGATGGCTTTAAGCTTTTTTGCCACAGCAATTATCCACCTAACCGGGTTAAATTCCATTGTTGAAGACTTCGGAATTATAAACAAACTGTTATACGGGATGTTGTTCTCTTGTGTAGTCCTGGATATGTTACATATGAGCATAATTGCCGTTGACCGATACATACATATTGCGCATCCATTTTACTATATAAAATATATGACAAAGCAACGTACCGTTAAAATACTTTCTGTTGCATATGTTCTGTGTTTCATCGACACCTTTATTCCGGCCATAGCGTATCAGGACGACACATATAAACGCTGTCTTAATACCAACGAGCCAACGGAATACTACTATTCAAATACATCCATTCTTTCCATCAATACAATTGTTGCGTTTTTGTGCTATTCGAAGATTGCGTGGATTGCCATCAGACACAAACAAGCCGCCATGTTCAGGCGACAACAAACACGGGACACCGAGAGCAATATAATCAACAGAAACAACCGTATGATGGTGATGAAAAGTGTGAAATTCTTTTTGGCCATGTTTGGGGTATTTTTCATGTTATCATTGCCCCCATTTGTTATTACAAACCTTGCTGCCTCCAGTATTGTCTCAGATGTACTTAAAGTAATTGCTACCTATTGTTTTCCGCTCCATTCTGTGCTGAATTTCATCATTTGCTGCAGCATGAGCCAATCTTTCTTCAAAGCTTTAAAGAAGACTCTTGTTGATCTGCAAACTTGCTGCTTCACTGCATGCTATCAAGAATAAATATGTATCGTCGTCATCATCAACATCATCTTCATCATCATCACTATCATCGTAATCGTAATTACTGTGAAAAGTTGCCGAGATCTTTATAAACTAATTTCCTTTCATGTTTAGGTCTTATCGTCGCCACAGTCATGTGCGTAAGCTGCCATGTTTCACCACCTCTCAGAACACCAGAAATCACTGATTAAGTCAATGTTCTGGTCACGCCTCACAAATGTGACAAAGTCATTCAGGTATATGTCTCTTTGCCTTCTTTTTTGCTCTCGTCCATCAATCTTTGAAGTTCTTACCAAGTTCTCGAATATATTCCTTTTGATAGCATGTCTACAAAATACCCACTGTCCACGTATTTTTGTTGTGTTAAGTGTACTACTTTCATCTTCCCGATGATGACTGTTTCGTGTGTGTGTTTTTTTTTTTTCTATCACTCCATTATATTCTTTGAGTTCTTCTCACAAACCACCTCTCTGCTTCTAGTTAATGATTTTTTTTTTTTCAGTTGATCTCATAAACAGAGAGGAAACCCTTTAGGCAGTTAAATATTATTTAGTAATAAAGGAACAGAAAATGCATTAATCGGCACTCATAGAAAGAAGTGGAAAGATAGAAAAACACAATCAGACAAAAAAAAATCGAAAGCTATAGTTACTGTAAATACGGACAGAATTCATTTCAAATCATTGAAATGACACCATAGATTACAGAAATTTGTATTAACGAAGCATATGTTGAATAACAATTTTCGAACACAGTAGACCCTAATGATTTGTCTAGAATACACAAACATTTAAGAAAGGTATTTGATTGGTACAGCCTTAAATGTCTATGGTTAAGCAACAGCAAGGAGATAAAAATTAGAATTTCGAGAGCATGCATCTTCCCTGTGGCTACATACGGATGTGAGTCGTGGACTATCTCTCTGTACTTAAAAAGAGATTAGGGGCTTTTGAGCAGAAATGCTATAGAAAGATTCTCAGAATATCTTGGACAAAGAAGAGGAGAAATCCTGACATCTTGAAAGATCTGAATATCAAGGAAGATTGGTTAATAAACAGCATCCTGTCTCGGAAGCTGAAATATTTTGGTTATATCAAGCGCCACGACGGATAGGAAAAAATTATAGCAGAGTGCATGGAAGGAGAAGCAGGGGCCGACCGACACGAAGATGGGCACAGGATATAAGTGACTCCTTGACTATGAGAGTACATGAGGCAGGAGAACTGGCGAAAGACCGAGTTTCGTTCAGGCAGACTGTGATGAGAGCGACATTCTGCAAAGGACCTGCTACATGATAATGATGATTTGATTGGTAGCTTCCGGTATGTATACGTCATTCCCAAAAATAAACAGAGGGGAAACCCTTAAGATGCTTCTCTGCTTGTTGTCCATGGTTCACATACAAATAACAACACAGGTTCTGCAAAGCAGTTTAAATATTTGTCAGGTGTTTTAGAATGTGTAAATATCTTCTCTTTTAGTGCTGTTGTATTTATTGTAAGAACCTTTCTGTAGCATTTCAGTTTGAAAGTTCCGATTTTCTTATCTACATTCAAGGGGGGTAGTTCACCACTCACATCCATTTGTTGCCACAGCTAAAATGCATACCTTAAAAATTTTGAATTTGGTTAAAATGCGTGTGAGGTCGACCCAGCCTGAAATGGGTACGAGGGTGGTTGTTCCGGGGAAGTAAAGACGGCCGGCGTAATGCTGACTACATTTTCACTAGTGCCGATTGGTCTGTAAAAATATGGGTGCTCTTCCTATTTGACCGATGCGCCTTAAGCGTGAAAAAAGATCTTTACTTTTTTTTTTTAAATAGGAACAGTTCTGTCACTTAAGGAATTATCAAAAGAACCACACACACACACACATACACACACACACACACACACACACACATATACACACAAGCCCTAATAAAATGTAGACTATCAAAAGCGTGGAAAGAATTGTACTGCTAAAGAAAAAGTAATTAAAAAATCAGAGGACGACTAACCAAGTTCGTCCTGACTTACATTGTTCGGCGACACTGCGGGCTGCATTACAACGAACAGGCAAGAGTTTGTATCACAGAGTGTGAGACTCCTAATTTTATAACAACTTCTCCACTCCTACATAATGCTACAGCCATGTTGTCGCTCTCCATCTGTCGACACTGCTCAAGCATCTTCGCTGAAACTTGGTTGAAGTTGTAACAGTTACAAACATATCTATTTCCCGTTCCTTCCATAATGTGACTGACACGTCTTCGCTTTAGTCACTACTTGCACATACATGAAAAGCAAATTTCAGCAATGTTATCAAAAAGCTTGCCGCTGGAATTATTTTCAAACGTGACATTTGTCTCTTTACACCACGTAGATTTGATTGAAGTTGGAGGTAAATACACGTAACACACATTTATTTTGGGATCCGATTCTTCTTCTTCTGCCTTTCTATCCCCCACTTGAGCATAGGCTCTCAACCAATTCACTCCAAGTCATTCTCTCATTCGACATTACATTTCTAGCCTCATTCTCCTGCTATCTTCTCCATGTTTTTTTTTTTTTTTTTTTTTTTGAGGGGGGGGGGGCCTTCATTTATTTCTATTTCCCTGTGGGTTCCAATGCAAAGACATTCTAGTTATGCTGTTCTCCTGTTTTCTCTGTGTGTGACCTATCAAACGCCATCGTCTTTTTCTCACCTCTTGGTCCACTGGAGCCTGTTCAGTTCTCTCCCAAAGCTCTACAAGGGATCCGATTACCAAATATTTTTTTAGATTTAGGTAGCGCAAAAAACATTCGCCGAAAAATGTGACCGAAAGATGTGATTATACCTGGAAATGTATGCTAAATATGTCAGTTTAGTTAAGGCGTTCAGTTGAAGATTAAATCACGACAGGCCCGGCAAGTCGGGGGAGGATACGGCGGTTCAAACAGAAATGCTCAAGATGAAAATGAGAGATGTTTCAGAAATAGGGAAAATAGATTCAAATTCAAATTCTCTTTCTTTGACCACTTTCAGCTAGGTCCGTTCACATTTCTGCTCACTTTCCTTTCAGCTATATTTGTGGTGACGTTTTCTGGTCGCGATCTTATTTGATTCTGGATTGTGTTTAATGTTGTCACTTTCTGTTTGTTGTGGTTTCCGCTCTTGCTGTTGTTTTTGTAATCTGGCTGGCCCTGTGCTGCGCTCAAGATGATTGGATGTTGGATCGATTTATTGTCGTATTCCTTGGCTGTTTGTTGTTTCCGGTGAAAGTAGATTGCCTATCCTAATAAGGACCGGCGGTCGATTGACTTGGGCAGGTACTGATGGCTATACTGCTGAGGTCTGGTATTATTTGGCGATTTTCTCGTATCCTTGTTGTAAAGTACTGCTCCTACATAGGGTTTCGGTAATTTGGCTTTGGTTGTGTCGTATCTGGTATTAGTGTTTGGGGTAACGATGTCGACCTCGTTTGACTTCAAATTTTGGCTGTCGATGTGGTTCCTCTGGTGATGACCAAAAAACATCATCATCCTGCAGTTCTGAGTTATAGAAGTTCGGGTCCTCCATCTCCATGATGCGTTGGTTAATTTGGTCAATTGTTGCCAACGGAAACTGTTTCATCAGCGATGCCTGAGTTTTCTTATGTGGTGTTTGATGCGGCTTTTTCTGGGTCTCGGCTCCCTGTATTTGCTGCCTTCTTGTTGCCTCTTTCCGTGCTTTCTCTCTTTCTTCCATCACTCTGTTGGTTGCTTGCAGTTCCTTGTTAAGTCTGTTGTTTTCTTCGTATGCTCTTCGTAACTTTTCCTCTGTTTCAGCCAGTGCCTTCTTGATCATTGCGATTTCTTTCGCGAGAAGTTGTTGGTTAACCCGCAGATCATTGATGCCCGCCTCGTCTTCCCTTGCCTTAGTTGGTTGTTCCTTTTGTGTCTGGATAGTGGCCAGTGCATTCATGATGTCCTCCTTGAATTTCGTCATCTCTGCTGTCATCCGTTTCTGGGTGTCAAGAGTCGCCTGCATTATAGCTCTCAGGCCTGTTATTTCATCTCTGTCTTCATCTCGTTGGGTTTTGGATGCGTCTTTCTCGTCTCTGAGAGCTTGGATGTCACTTTTGAGTTGAGCCACCTCGTTGCTCAATTTGGTGGTAATGGCTGCGGTTATGCCTTGGGTTGCTTCGTGTCTTCTGCGGGCCTCATGGTATGGAATCTTATCCCGTATGGCCGTGGTTGCAATTTCTCTACATTGTTGCAGATAGGGGCACCCCAGGTACCTGGTGCTGTGCTGGCCGTAGCAGTTGGCGCACTTTCTGTTCGTATTGGGTGACTTAAAGTCTGTGTCCAGCTTTGCCAGCGGGCAATTGTTGAAGGCATGGTGTTGTGAACAGTATCGGCATACTTCATGTTCGCTCACACAAGTGGCCCGGGAGTGCCATGCTTTTTGACAACGAGAGCACTGGATCACCTGTGGCACGTATTGCTCTGGTCTTTGCATTCTTTGATCTAGGTAGACTTTATCCGGGATGTTTTTCTCCTTCCGATGTTATCACCGCCACTGGCAATGGATGCCGTTTTGAGCCCAGTCTCTCTGCTTGGTTGATGTTGACATTTGGGTTTTCTTTCCTTATTTGTTGCAGAATTTCTTCGTTGCTCCATTGCAGGTTGACTCTTCGGATCACCCAGCGTCTTACATTCTGGAAGATGGTGGCCGTCACAGTTATCTCCTCGGATAGTCGGAGTTCTTTCTTGCCGTCGTGTTGGATGTCATCCAGCATGTCTGAGGTGCGGTTGGTTCTGTTTAGTGAAGCTATCACTCCTTCTCGAGTTCTCCTAATCTTTGCGACTGCCCTCTTGCCTAACATGATCTCCAGCATATTGATCAATGTTAGCGTTGCCAGTGTAGTGATTGCTGTCCGGCCCGAGTTGGTCTGTCGTAGAAATATTGTGGCAGGAAATTCATAGCTGCCTGTCTTTCGTCGATCTGGAGATGTCTGTGGACTTGGCTGTGTTGGTTCAGGTGACGCTGGGACGTCA